CACCAAGGTTCACCATTTTGGTTCTTCCTATAAAGGACATAATGACAAATTCATTCCAAGTACCAAGGTAGGATGAGACTACCAGGAGAGAATAGAAAAGACTTGTGTTTGTTAATCGTCTCATTGCTGTGAGCAGATACTTGACAAGAAGTAATTTAAAGCCATCATGGAGGGGTGGCATATGTGAGCATGAGGAAGCTGGCCACGTGAATCTAGTCACAAGTGGACAGCGGGTCAAGCTGTAAAACCTCAAGACCCATTCTCAGTCCTCTTAAAGACTGCTCAACCTTCCAAATAGTGCCAACAGCTGGGGGTTGAGTATTTGGATGTATGAGTCTATAGAGAATACTTTGAGTCTATAGAGAACATTTCTCATTCAAGCCACAACAGGATCATAGGACTAACAAGGCTTGGGCAGGAGTGGGCAAGAGTGGGCAGGAATAGTCGCATCCAAAGGGAGAATCAGAGAGCATGAAGTCACATTGTATCACAGGATGGCTAAATGACCACCCTGTCACTTTGTGCCTCGGGCTTCAGGACAACTGAAATGCTGGAGAAAAGGAGAGTCTCCACCTGGCCTTTAAGGTATAGAATAGACTCAGCAAGGTGGCAGCCCAGACTGTTCTGGACAGTGGAAGAGCCGGGAAGAAGGTTCCGGGAGTCAGGGCACAGTCAGCTAGACCTAGTGGAGATACAGAAAGCTGGTTGTCACTGCTTCCAGTGCATCAGCTGCGGGTTGGAAGAATAAACACTGCGAGAGTGCAGCAGAGCTAGGACAGTTCTTCCTGGGAATATTGGGGGAGCAGCCACCTGTGTTAGGGTTGGGGTGCTGGGCTCATGTCTCTTTTCTCTGACAACTACAGCCTATTATATGCCCCGTATTTGTCCTAAACCTGTTCAGGCAGTGCCACAGTCTCCATGACCCAAGTTTCTTGTCTCTTCATCTCAGTGGCTGGCAGAGAGAGGAGAATTGTCCTCTGCCCTCCACGTGCACATGATGGCATGCCCACGCCCACACTTACATATACACCATCCGCTCACACGCAGTATTAACAAATCAAATTTAAAACTAACTGAATGGGGCACTGGGGAGATGGCTCAGTTGGCAGAATGCTTGCCACCTGAATGCGGGATTTAAGTTCAGTCCTCAGAACCCACATAACAGCAGGACATGGTAATGTGTGCTTTTAGTATCAGTCCTGGGGAGGTGGAGACTGCAGATCCCTGGGACTCACTGGCAGCCAGTCCAGTCTACTTGGTGAGGTCCAGGCCACTGAGAGACACTACCTAAAACGTCAAGATGGGCAGCACCTGAGGGACAACACCTAAGGTTGACCATTAACCTCCACATGCATGTGTATCGGCATACGCATGTACATACTGTACACACACACACACACACACACACACACACACACACACACACACATGCATACCTGCACATACACACACACCAGAAATAAAAAGAAAAGGAGTCATGTTGATCTTACAACAAAGGTGATCTCTTCTAAGCACCCAGGGGAGTCTCACAAGGGCCTAACCTGCTAACCAGGAAGGTAAGCACTCCAGAAGAGGGCACTTGGCAACTCTGCCTTGTGTATCTGTGGGACCTGCCCAAGGCCCTGAAGCAGGTAAAAGATGGACACTGTTCCTACCACAAACAGTACTGGGGAATGTGGATGACAAGGAGGCACACACTACTCTTCTGAGCTCACAAGCATGTCTGGGTAAGGCCTGCTTCACCAAGGGTGGGGAGGATGCTTGGGAAGGAGAGGGACATGTCTTCATCACTGTTCTATTGCTGTGAAGAGACACTATGACCAAGGCAGCTCTTATAAAAGAGCATTTAAGGGAGGCATGCTTATAGTTTCAGAGTTGGTCCATGGGAAGCAGATAGACAGACTGCCACACTGGAGCAGTAGCTGAGAGCTGTACATCCTGATCCATAGGCAGCAGACAGAGAAGAAACTCAGGGCCCGGCATCCATGACACACTTCCTCCAACAAGGCCATACCTAATCCTTCTCAAATGATTTACCAACTGGGAACAAAGCATTCAAACCTATGAATCTATGTGGGCCATTCTCATTCAAAATCACCTTATAAAGCAAGGAGGAAGGGGAAACTTTAGGAAGGAGGAGGCCCCAGTGGCTCTACAGGAACAAGCAGAGAGGTTCAAAGGCTATGGAAGAGCATGCAAGCACCTACAAGAGGATTGTGAGGAAGCTGGACACTGCCTTTTTGAAGCAAGGTCCCTCAGTGGCCTGGACCTCACCAAGTAGACTGGACTGGCTACCAGTGAGTCCCAGGGATCTGCAGTCTCCACCTCCCCAGGACTGATACTAAAAGCACACACTACCACGTCCTGCTGTTATGTGGGTTCTGAGGACTGAACTTAAATCCTGCACTCAGGTGGCAAGCATTCTGCCAACTGAGCCAGCTCCCCAGTGCCCCATTCAGTTAGTTTTAACTTTGATTTGTTAATACTGCGTGTGAGCGGATGGTGTATATGTAAGTGTGGGCGTGGGCATGCCATCATGTGCATGTGGAGAGCAGAGAACAACTTTTAGAGTCAGTTCTTTCCTGCCACCTTTATGAGGGTTCCAGGGGTTGAATTCAGGTGGCCAGGCTTGTGTGACAAGTGCCTTTCTTTACCTGTTGAGCTATTCCCCAGCTCTCATTTATGATTTGAAATATTTTATTATTTTATGTGTATGGTGCTTTGCCTGTATGTATGTCTGTGTACCATGTGCATGCATGCCTAGTGCTCATGGAGACCAGAAGAGGGTGTCAGAGCCCCAGGGATGAGTTACAAATGGTTGTGAGTTGCCATGTAGTTGCTGGGAATTGAATCTGGGTGGTCTGGAATAGCGGCAAGTGCCCTTAACTATGGAACCTTCTCTCTAGCCCCTCATTTATATTTTGAAGATGACTCACCAACATCTTTGTGAACTGCAGACCTCTACTGTTCTATGGAACAGGACCCTGCAGCCAAGATCTATTTAAAAGCTTCAGGGTGGAAATGGGGAAGCATGTAGGATGTAGTTTCCCCCAGGCTGAGCAGCACTCTTCCTGCCTCGTGATTGGAGCCCCAGCCCCAGCAAGAACATTCCTGTACTCATCTTCAGGCAGCCTTCTCTTTCTTTTTTTATACCAGGTCTCACTATATAGCCCAGGTTGGCCCCCTCATGCCTTAACCTCTGGCATTATGGGTATGTGCCACCACCCCCGGATCCCTTTCAGTTCTTTCCTTTGGGGGAACTTCACCAATAATCTTAAGTCATTTCTTTAAAACCACACCACCTTAACTGCAAACCTGAGCGCCTGGTGCTTGCTCCCTTTTTTTTTTTTTTTTTTTTTTTTTTTTTCTGAGTCTGCCTCATGCAGAGACCCAGAGGCCTGGTGATTTAGGAGCTAACTGTACACATTCCCTACGAGGAAGGGTGTTGGGCCTCCTGATGTGGACCCCTGGGCTGCCCTGTCATTGTTAGTGTGCTGCTAAAGGCTTTCTCTTTCAGACATCCTTAATCCACTTATCTATTGTGAATTCTTTTTGTCAGTGTCTGTGGGGAAGAGATGCCCACTCTCCCATGTAGGAGATAGAAATCCCTCTTAGCATGTATTTAAATGGACCTAGAGTGGTGTGTTTACTCATCTGCATCTTACTGTGATTTTCCCTAACTCCTGGTCAGGCCTTATTTTTCCAGAGTGGACTTTTGAGTCTACCACTCTGGCTGGAGCAGGCCTTGTTCCTGCTAAAGCAAGGCTCTTCATCTCTCTGTGCCTGTTTCCTGACTGGTGAAGTGTGACAGTGACAGCACACACTATATTTATGACCGTTGTCAGGAATGTCCCCAGACATGGAAGACCTCAGCATTTGAGAGTGTCTGTCAGGTGATGCTCCTGACTCCAGTCATGGTGCTTGGGATGACTGAGGTTGGAGAAAGAGCATTTTGCTGTGGCTTGGTGAAGGCAGGGGCGTGGAATTTTCTGTCCTGGAAGCCACATCATGAAGATCAAAGGTGAGCTTAGAGAAGCTGTCCCCAGTAGCCTTCTGCTGTCCTACAGCATACCTGCTGCCTCCTCAGTCTCTGGACCATGTTTCCCAGTGGGCTGCCTGCCAGATGGACCTCAGCAAGTGCATGTGAAAGGCAGGCTCACTGGCCAGGTCTGTGAGAAACCTGGCCCTTGACCCCAACACCAGGCACAGGAGATCTGCGATACTGGGTCTGTTTGCATCCACTCTGGGGAGCAGGGTAGCCCACAGCCCATAGCAGGACCCCTTTCCAGATGTCTCCAGAGGCTTTTGGGGCCACAGCTAGCCACTGTGTCTTTATCTTTTTCGATCACAGCCCCATCATTGATCATATTCTGTATACATTTGGAGGTCGTCTTGTACCCTTCCTGCAAAATCAAACCAGGACATCCTCTGACCTACACCAAACAGGATCCTTCTTGACATGCTTCCTTTCTGCCACTCCTACTTCTGGAACCCAAGCCTTAGAGCTCCACATTCCCAAGCACTGACCCCTGTGACTCCCTGCCATGGTTATGGAATATTCTCGGTTTTGGATAGAGGGAGGGAAAGGAAGGAGCCAAGGACAGCCACTTGTATGGTAAGCCAATAATGGACAGGTATCTTGAATATAGTGCACCTGAGGAGGCAGAAAAAGACCTGGGGTCCCACAGCCCCTTGGGGTCTGAGCAGTGCAAAGCACTGTGGGTACTAGGATGCCTCTTCAGCCCGCAGGCTCCTCTAGGATACCTTGATGCTGCCCCTGGCTTCTGTGGCAGCTAGGCTTGTAAGTGGTTCCCTGGCAGGCCTTGCCCTGCCCATGCTCTCAGTGTCCAGCCAATGGCCAGGTACCTCTCCCCTATTCCTCTTAGCCATCTTCTCATCCCTCATGTTCCTGTTGATAGCTCTAGCTTCATCCTTGGCAACTCCAAACCATAAACAGGGAGCCATGCAGAGTGGGCAGGAAAAGACACCAGGAGGAGACACACAGTGCCAGGGTTTATTGCAGCTTAGGGCTGGGTGAGCACGGGCCCCTCTCTAACCCCAGATCTCAAGGCCCCTCCAGCAGGCTTGCCTGACACAGCTCCCTGGGTAGCTTGTCTTGACTGGACAGTTCCATCTGCCTTTGTGCACTTAAGATAACTGGCAGAGGGCTTCTTTATGTGATCAAGGGCACACAGGCTTGCTGTGGGGAGCCCTACAGCCACAGGCTCTCTGTTTTTCTCCATGACATTTATGTGTCACCACAGAAGATGAGGCCAAGGCAGCCAAGAGGGTCCTCCAAGGGCCAAATCCTCACCTGGCCCCCTCCTCAAGTGGATCTTAATTGTCCCCTTACCCTCCATGATGCTGGTTTTACCAAGGGGAGAAGAGGCAGTGGGGCCACAGAGGGTTCTTGTGGGCCACACAGAACATGCCTGCCTAAGGTTTATGGTCAGTTGTGCAGGTTCTGCTCCAGGTTGAGGGACGTGAGGGGGTTGGGGGACGCAATTGCCTTCCAGCACTGGGCTCTAGGGAGTGTTCATGGAAGTCGTGGGCAGGAAGCTGCAGGCCAGGGCACAGCTGCACTCGTCGATGTGGGTATAGGTGTGCTGCAGGACTGTACCGTTGGGACACTGCATGGCCACAGCTACATCATGGACCTTGCTCTCCTGGCAGCAGGTGCACTGATGCTCCATGGCCTGGGCTTCCATGGAGTACCTGTGGGCATGGGAGGCTCAGCATTTCAACTCCGTGATCCCCTTAGCAGGATAGTGATTCATGGTCCTCTGTGGGCTTTTGGAAGCTGTCTGACTGTCCACCATGGCTACTTTCTTGAACATGCAGCCTTGCCCTTCCTGGGCTCTCTTTAAACTCTACTCCATCTTGCATAGCCCCCTGTGATTCTCCTCCCTTTCCATCCTGCTGACACTGTTGAGACACTCCCTCTGGACAGCCACCCTAAGCCAGCCTGGGACCCTTCCTCCTGCCTTCTCTGACCACAAATGCTCAACCTTCCTGGCCACTCCTGTTCACAGCTGACCACAGCCTGGGACCATCTGGGAACCACAGAGGGATCTGATGCTTCCTGTCCCTCTAGACACATTCAGATTTCTAGACACAAGTCCCCAGCCAAATCCCTATTCTGTATAGCTAAGCCAGGTTTGCCCCTCGCTTGACTGGGAGATGGGCCATATGTTTTATGCACACCAGTATATGTGGCCTCCTGACTCCAAGAAGGAAACAGTCTCAGTAAGACCCAAGGTGACAAAGTAACAGCTGGTTCTATATTCTTGGGGAGGCAAGGCACCTACTCACTTGGACATTCCAGAGCAGGAACCCTCGCAGAAGGTGATGTTGACTGCCTCCTCTGTTTCACAGCCGTTATGATGCAGGATGGTTGTATTTACACGCACTTGGCATCTACTTGAGTCTGCAAAGAAGACAGGTCAGAGACCCTGAACCCGATGTGGCTGACCATCCATGATGGTTAATATTGACTTTCAACTTGACAGGATGTACAATCATCTAATAAGACAAAGTTCTGAAAGACTTTCTAGATTAAATTAACTTATTTGGGAAGACCCACCCTGAGTATGGGCAGGACTCGGTGAAAAGGAGAAAGTGAGCTTGTTGGCTGCAGACACATATGAGCATCTGCTTCTATTGCTTTCTTGTGTCCCCGCCATGGTGGGCCTGTACACTCAAGCCATGTGCCAAATAAAGCTTTCCTCCCTTAAATCGAGAGAAGTAACTGACACACCTTTCCTGGGTGACAGGTCACTTCTGTTATACTGGGACTTTGGTGGAATCTGCCACCCAGTGGGAGAAACTTGAATTGCTTTTGAATGGGAACTGGGTGGAGCTGGATGACAAGATGAGAGATTATCTTCAACTTACCCTCCTTTTCACAGGAGTAACAGCAACCTGTTTTCCTTAGGATTCCCTGCAGGGCCAAGAACAGAACAGACTAGGACTAGGACAGAACCAGGATATGGGGTACAAGTCATAGGGACACAGACTTCTTGGGTCAGAACCTCCCAGGGACCATGATGAGGGTAGACCACCCAAAGGCAGGGCCTTCAAGGCACATACCCTACAGTTGGACACATCAGGGCAGGCTGTGGGGATTGGAGTCAGTATATGGATTCCAGTCTCAACCTTACAGTGGTACACAGTACAGTTGTCCACAGGATTGTTCACCCAAGTTTCATTGGGCTGAAAAGCAAAACACACAATGGAGGTCCAGACTGGGATCCACTTATGGTTGAGACATGTTCAGGGGAAGATCTCTTCCACTCTCTCCTATTACCTGCACTGCCTGGCCCTCTGGCGTGAGGCAGGCATTCTGTTCACATTGCCCACAGCACTGCTCTGGCATCGGTGTGTACTTGAAGCCCTGTGGGTACAGGACAGGTGGTCAGGTCTCCCATTCATCCCAGCCACCCTCTGAGTATACTCTAGGGGCCCTGGACCTCCTTAACAGGAACTCCTGAGAGGTCATGTCTTTGCTGTGTGTTGTCCCCCCTTCCCAGGTCTTGCAGCTTAGCTCACCCTGCTTCTTAGCCTCTCATCTACTGTAGAGGTTCTCAGCATCCCTAATAAAATTATTCCGTTGCTACTTCATAGCTATACTTTTGTTACTGTTATGAATTGTAATGTAAACATCCAATATGCGGGATATCTGATATGAGACTCCTATGAAAGGGTTATTTGACCCTAATGGGGTTATGACCCACAGGTTGAGAATTACTGGTCTACTGGTACCATACTAGACCTGTTTCTAGTCATCTCATCAACCTACTTGATGTCCTCCAGTCCTCATAACCCCCCTACTTTTCCCTTTAGAAAAAAACAAGACCTCAAAATTATGTCAATTGGAGGACTCTCAATAATGGGCTGCCATGGGTAGCCTCTCAGAATGTATGCCAAGACCAGGCTCACCTGGGGACAGGAGGTGGTACAAAGTTTCTCTCTACACTCTACTTTTGGTTCTTGATTGCCCATAGAGAAGCAGGTGCATGTTTGGCAGGGATCGTCCCCTGGGAAGTTTGCACCGACCTAGAGCAGATGAGGAGGAGTGGCACCGAGAAAGGTGGAGGCAGGGGGTGGGCTCATATCAGGCCAGGACTCTTAGCTGAGTCCAAGCATGGCCCGTAGGCCCAGTTCTTTTCCCCCACAGTGTAATTGTTCCACTAGTTGACCACAGGTATCCAGTGGGTAGGGACAGCAGTAAGCTGGGAGACCCAGAAGCTTTCCACAATATACAGGCACTCACCCACACACGCACATGCATGCACACACACATACACACAAATGGCCTTAGGTCCTATGTTTTAAGGGCCCAGAATCCCCTCTTCAGATCTGCCTTTATGGCAAGGATGCTGAGACAAGGATCAGGAACTGGGTACATGGGCTTCCCACCCACCTTGGCCTACCCCTGCTGTCCACCCTGCCCAAGCTGAGCCCTTACCCCATAGAGGGTGTTATTGTATGTGCACATCATAGGTCCTGAAAGGAAAGGGGGCTGAGTATGCATCTGGGTACTGAGACAGAAACCCTGTTCCTCCCCATCCCTGAACTCCACTGCAACCAGCCTCAGTATATCCTCCTCCATGCTTCAGCCCCATTCCTACTCACGGCAGCTGATGTTGGGGCAGCAGCTGCCCTTCTCATGGGTTTGGATCAGCTCATACCCTGGGTCACACTTGAGCACACTCTTGGGGCAGGTAGTTGCATTGCAAACTGTAGAGATGTAGCCCTGTCAGGATGATGCCCATTTTGCCCCTCCCTCAGCCCCCATCTTCTCCCTTTCTGTGAATACTGGCCCCTAGTGTCATTTTCCCTTGGGACCTGGTATGCTTCATGGCTTTCTAGGTTTCATCAAGTCCCATTACTTATTTCACCCCCCCCCTTGGTCCTTACCCGTTAGGTCAGCCCAGAGGTCACCAGCCTAATTTTCAGGTCAAAATCTGAAACATCTTGAGACCATCCCCCACCTGAACGGCCCAGTATAGCTAAGCTAGAGCATGACTCTCCTGTGTCTCCAGTAAGTGCTCACCACAGACTGTCTCGGGGCAGCATGGATTGTCAGCCTTGGGCCTGGTCACAGTCATAGATCCAGCCTCTGTGCACTCTGGGAGCTCCTTCTGGCTCTCACACCTCACTGGTTCACACTGTACTGACACAGAGCTGGGGTCGCACACACAGGACTGGCAGCCGCTGGTCCAGTGTTCTCCGGGCTGGAACAGGCCAAATCAGGATCTCTGAAGGCCACGAGGTCCTAAAGTCCTTGGCCTGACTGCCTGAACTCAATTTCAAGTCATTGTTTGCTCTCAGCAGGTTAGCTCTCTGCTGTCCAGGGTAACAGCAGGGAGGAAACCCAGGATCCCCACTTCAGCCTCCTGGTCTGTAAAGAGTCAGCCACCCTCCCTACTTCCTTCCTACTTTTCTTTAGCTCAAGTATGGGGTTGGGGGAGCACCACCACTCACAAACTTAGGAAGCCCATCTGGTCCCACGCAGGCTGGAAAGAAATGAGTAGGCTTGTTACTGGAGATGCTGGGGTTCAAGACCAGGCAGAGAGAACTGTGCTTTTAGCCCTGGCTACTTGTACCCCAAGCCAAGATCTCACATCTTCTCCCAGTTTAGAACAGAAGGCCCTAGAGAATTCTGAGGGTCTCAGGTCCATGAGACGGTCAGTGGTGAGGTTGAATGTTGAGAGTCTGGCATTTCATTCAGTGAAGGAAGGCAGCTTCTCTGAGTAGCTCCAAGCAGCAGAGTTTAGACAGAATGATGGCAGACTCACAGTAGGCCTTTAGACACCTGCAGGACTAATGACCTCACCAGGGTCTTCTCACACATTAATCAGGGAGAAGAGGGTCTGCAGATGTGTTGGATCCTGGCCTGTCAGGTGGGGACCCTACGGGGGACAGGGGTAGGACGACAGAGCTCGTCCCGTGGCAGGTGAATGGCACTTACGACACTCCAGCACACAGATGTCCATGTGTGGATTGAAGAGGAGCTGATTCTCAGGGCAGAAGCAGCCCTCTGCCAGGGGCCCAGTTGAAATGCTCAGGGTCCTAGTGTGAGGAGGAGCAGCAGAGTGTAGGATCAGAAATGAGGTGGCACCTCCAAGAGCCAGTTGTGGGGGTCCCAAAGTTCAGACCCTTCAGACATGGGAGGCAAGCTGCTACCTCCACATTCCCTATTACTTAGCCAGCACTCACCTGGAGCTGCAGGATACTGGGTGCAAGGGTCCGCAAGGTTTGTATTCCTTAGTGGGTGGACAAGAGAAGTCTGTGGGCACAGAGAGTATCATCAGACAGGTTCAGAAGAAACAAGAGGACTGGAGGCCTGACTAAGTTGGATGCTCCAGACTTACCACATAGCCCTCCAGTGGCATTGCGCCAGTTGATGCACACTCCCTGGGTCCGGCAGAGTGTTGCATAGGCCTCCAGGCTTTGACAGAGCATGCCAGTAAAATTGGTACTGCAGTGGTCACTGACACAGGAATTGAAGAAGGTATCTGGAGGGATGAGCCTGTGGCACTCGGCGAAGACCCTATGACAGTGAATGGTCATGATTGGGAGCTCAGGGCCCAGCAGGGAGGCTAGCCAAGGGGACTGCAGCCCAGGCCCACTACCCCAAAGGCAGACTCACTGGCTCAGCATCAGCTCACAGAGGGGTGCAGTAGGGCATGGGGGAGAGGTGGTTGTGCTGGACACTGGGGGCTGGGAAGTAGTGCTTGGGGGAGGGCTAGGCTGAACTAAGCAGCTGTTGTTGCTATTCCCAGGCACCAGCCAGTCTTTGGCCATGTCCTGGCAGTTGGAAGCTATGGTGCCATCTGGCCGGCGGCAGTCATCTGTCTGGCTGTTTGTGCAGGTACCTGGTGAATAGGGTAGGGATGGCAATCAGCTTCTTGTCAATTTCCGTAGACCCATTCCTTCCCCCCATTTATGGATGCCATGAGCCAGGCCATGTCTACTCACCGCACCGGCCCTCAGTATTGTTGCTGAAGTGTCTGTAGGGTAACCATATCTGGAAGATGTGTCCATCAAAAATGATGCTGGTACCAATGGCAGAAATGTTGACACCCATTGTGCTGGTGCCACTCAAGGACACTGTCACACCATTCTTGCTGGAACCTGATCTTATCCACGTTTGGTCCCATATGATCTAGGGATGTCCAGAGGGAAACAGTAACCAGGGGGCCAGCTGGGCAGCAGTGGGTGCTGCTTTGCAAAACACCAGGTACATTCCTGTTTATTCCTCAACCAAAGCTAGGCATTTATTCTTTCTCTGGGACAGCTCCTACAGCTCATTTCTGCAGAAGGCAGAGTGCTCTTGGTAGCAAGGGCTTTTCATCTTTGCTTGTGTCACCCATATCCAGGCCTCATGCTTGCAGTGCGACCTTGGGGCTCTATCTAAGACTCACCAGGCTTTCCTCCTTCCCACTGGCAGTGGTGGTGATGGTAAGGACAATCTCCATAGAGTTGTAATACACACTGAGGGCACGGGGACAGAAGGTGACATTGGTGGTAGCCCCACAATAGTAGCTGTGAGCAAGGATGCTCAGGTTGCCGTGGCGAGGGTAGATCTCTTTCATGAGCACTGAGGTGCAGTTGTCCGGGAAAGTATAGGAGGTGCCGTCGAATGTCAGATAGTGTGAGCGCCCCCATCCACTGCAGAAGCCTATGGGAGACTACAGTTGTAGGCTCACTTCCCAGCCCTGATACCCAGCACCGCCTCTGGAACTGTTCCTTCAGGGGAACACAGTTGCTTATCTATAAAATAAGTGTCTCCCAAACCATATCTATCTTGGGAACTGTGAATGTAACATTGGTCTTAAAATGGGACCATCTCAAATTACTTGCATGTTCCTTGAACCAAATGACAGTATACTCATAAAAGACAAGAGAGGTAGACATGGAGCAGACCATAAGAAGATGGAGAAAGGGTGTAGTGATGAAGCCACAAGCCAAGGAATCCTGTAGCCCTTAACTGGGAAGGTCAAGAAGGATCCTCCATAGGGATGACTTGACTGTCTTGATCTGACTCTAGCCCAGGGATGGGAGTCCCTGAGTTTGGTGTTCTAAGTCCCAAGTTTTAGTCATTTAACACTCAGCAATGGAAGTTGTCATCAGGACTGCAAGAAAGGACTCCCGCTGTGACTCTTTGCAACCTACCCTTCCCTGGTCACACAACCCCGTGCCTGTGCCACATCCATGTTCCCAGTCTCCCTTTGCACACAATGTCTGCAGGCTAGCACACCAGTTACATCTGCTGTTTGAGACTGCCAGGCATTGAGATCAAATGCCTCAATCCTGTCCCTTCTTGCTGAGCTGACCCATGCCTGCCCTCTGCTCACATTCACACTCATAATGGAAGTGGCAAGGCTCCTGGTCCCACACTTTGATGGGCAAGTGTTTGTTGACACAGGTGACATTGTCCACAGGCTCCGGCTCTAGGAGGATGATTTTGTTATTTCCCTGGCACCTGGCCACTGTGCAGTTCTCCAGGGTCCAGGATTCGTTCACCTGAGGCAGAAGATATACAGCGTATTCACCTTGAGGTCATGTGGAAACCCAAGCCCTGTCCTTTCTGTAGCCCAGGTTCCTACAGCTATGTATCCCAAAAGGCAGCCAGCTTCTGCTGATGACCTTAGATCCCTGCACCTCTCTCAACAGGAGCTGCTGGAAGATGAGTCACTAAGATAGGTTACAGGGTTGAGATAGTGCTGAGAACTAGCCATGGTGCAACCCAAATGCGGCTGTCCCTGAGAACCCATATCCACACCACATCAGAGGGTGGTGGAGGGAGGAGGGAGGCTCACCTGCCGGGAAGGGATGGCATCATCACAGCCAGGAGGCAGGGGGGACAAAGGTGCAGAAGTAGAGGGCGCTGGAGGGGAAGAGGAGGGGCAGGCACCCTGGAAGCGGTCAACATCACAGTACTGGTTGCAGGTGGCATAGAATTGGCAGCCAGCTCCATCAGTCTTATTGTAGATGACATCTCCTGTGGAAGGAGAAGAAAAAAAAACACAGAAAGACATAGCTACACCCCATCTGAAGAGGCAGTAGAAGACCGAAGGTGGGCAGGGCAGCCTGCCTGAGAGAGGGCATGGCCTGAACTCTGCATTCATGAAAGGGCCCAGAGCTCCCATATGGACAAGTGACACGGGACAGGGAGAACATGGACTTTTCTACTCACCAGGTAAGAACAGCTGTCCAAATGCCCGGCAGAAACAGGGTGATGGGGAAAATGATTGGCTGGAAAAGACAGTAGGCCTGAGGGTACTGGGGCCCAAAGGAGAAACAGTAGGCATGCTGAAGGTCACCTGGCTGCTGTGGGAAACTTGAGTGGTGTGCGTGGTCTCTGAGGTAGAGGAGGGGGCCGCAGTGGGGCCTGTGGCTACAGGTGAAGTTCCTGTGGTCAAAACTGGAGCGGTGTGAGTGGGTCCCAGGGAAGAGGAGTGGAATGTAACAGAGCCAGTGACCTCAGGTAAAGAAGTCATGGTGTTCAAAGTTGGGGAAGTGTGACTGGACTGCAGGGGAGAGGTAGAAGGAACGGTGGAGGAAGTGGCCATAGGTGATGTGGTGCAGTGACTGACGTTGTCACAGCAGAGGAGGCGCACATGGTAGTTGTCACAGTATTGCAAAGGCCCGGATTGGTTGATATTCTTGCATATCAGCCCGAATCGCACATCACACTGGACCACCTGCTCAAGACTTTCCAGGGGTTTGTCAGGCTCCTTCTCAGAGCGGCACTGGATGTCCCTGGGCTGATCACAGAACACAAAGCCAACCTCACGTAATACTGCATAGACCTCAAAGTCCCCGCCTCTGGGACCAGGGTTAGGGAAGTCCGCATCAAACCAGTCTGTCCATGTGCATCGAGGTACACAGCCTGAGTCAGGAAATGTGGTCCATGTGGATGCTTGGGTGCTTGGCACTGGGGAGCTGAAGGGATGCTTGGTCTGAAAGGTGGATTCAGTGCTAGAGGACACTGTGGTTGTGAAAAGGACTGTGGGAGTGTGGGTAGACCAGGGCAGGCCTGAAGTTAAGGCGCTGGAAGGGGAGCTAGGGCAGTGACTGTAGTCATCACAGCAAAGCACACGGATGCGGTAGTTGAGGCACATGCTAAAGGGCCCCGTCTGGTCCTGGTTCCTGCACACCAGCCCAGAGTCCAGACTGCAGTTGATGACCTGTCTTGATTCCTGCTGAGGCACATTGGGCTGGTCAACAATGTCACATTCTAAGTCCAGGGGCTTTTCACATATAGCAATTCCAGCTGCTCTAATGTTGGTGTAGGTCTCAAACTCCCCACCAGAATTCCCAGGTGTAGGGGAACTCTGGTCCATCCAGTCTGTCCAGGTACATTGAGGCTTGCAGCCCTTGGAACTAGAGAGTGTAGTAGAGATGGCTGTAGTCCTGGTACTCAGCAGAGATGAGGGCTGAGTCTCTTTGGAAGTACTTGTGGTTACAGAGGCAGCTGAAGTGCTACTGAGGGTTGCAGAAGAAGCCGGAGAAGTGTTTATGGCAGTGTTAGAGAGTCTGGCACTAGTGGCAGTTCCTGGTGTTGGGGGTGACCCTGCACTGGTGGCCGGCTCCTGGCAGTGGCTCACATTGCAGCATAGCACACGGATCATGTAGTTGTAGCACATCCCAAATTTGGTGTCCTGGTCCCTGTTGTGACACACCAGACCAAAGCTGACATCACACTTCACTCTCTGATCCAGCATGTCCAAATTCACGTCTGGGTAGTTCTGGGCCACACACTGGATGTCCTGAGGCTGTCCACAGATGTCTGCCCCAGTGGCCCTGATCTTATCATATGTCTCAATGTCCCCTCCCTCTCTGTCAGATGAAGGGTAGTCCACATCAAACCACTCTGTCCACTGACACTGGGGTTGGCAGGTGGTGGAGGTCACAGGGCTGCCTACAGTGCTAGAGGATGCCGAACTCATGGGATGCTGAGTGGTCTTTGAGGTTGCTGTCAGAGGAGTGCTGGGTGGGGGGTGACACACTTGTAGTCAGGATCCCAGAGGTGGGGATCTCTGAGGGATAGATGCTGGTGATGGAGCCTGAGGGAGACCAGGTCTCAACTGGACTCGTGTTGAGATAAGGCTTGGAGGACAGAGTCTGGGTAGCAGTGGTGGCAGTTCCTGGTGTTGGGGGTGAGCCTGCACTGGTGGCCGGCCCCTGGCAGTGGCTCACATTGCAGCATAGCACACGGATCATGTAGTTGTAGCACATCCCAAATTTGGCGTCCTGGTCCCTGTTGTGGCACACCAGACCAAAGCTGACATCACACTTCACTCTCTGATCCAGCATGTCCAAATTCACGTCTGGGTAGTTCTGGGCCACACACTGGATGTCCTGAGGCTGTCCACAGATGTCTGCCCCAGTGGCCCTGATCTTATCATATGTCTCAATGTCCCCTCCCTCCCTATCAGATGAAGGGTAGTCCACATCAAACCACTCTGTCCACTGACACTGGGGATGGCAGGTGGTGGAGGTCACGGGGATGCTGCCTGAGTATGTGAAAGGTGTAGATCCTGTGTGGGTAATGCTGGTCATCAGACTTTGTGCAGTGTTAGAGGAGGTGGTAGCTTTAGTGGAGTGTCCTTGTCCTGTTGATGAACTGATGGCGGCGGTGGGGACTTCACTGCTGACTGTAGTCTTGTTCGTGGTATATGTCCATGGTACAGCAGTTGTGCTAGGGCAGTGGCTATAGTCATCACAACAAAGCACACGTATATTATAGTTGAAGCACATTTTGAAGTCATCTGTCTGGTCCTCATTTTTACAGACCAGTCCTGTCTCCAGGTTGCAGCTTACTATTTGACCAACTTTATCAATACTCACTGCAGGGTAGTTCTCTGCCCGGCACTCAATCTTCTCTGGTGCCTGGCAAATCTTCTTACCAGCAGTTCTGATATTTTCATAGGTCTCCATGTCCCCTCTTACTACACCTGAGGTTGGTGAGTCCACATCAAACCATTCTGTCCACTTACACTTGGGCTGGCAGTGGGTTGTGCCCTGGCTGGTGGTGGCATTAGTCATGGTTACTGGTAGTGTCTGTGTCCTTGGTGTACTGTAAGAGAGCTCGTTTATGCCTGTAGTCAACTCCAGGCTCGTGGGTGGAAGTTTTGAGGAGGCAGAGGCAGCTGTGCCAGTAAGTATTCTTGTCCAGATTCCAGTTGAGGAAGTTTGTTTTGTTGTCAATGTGAGTGTTGATGGCTGCACTGTTTTGTGCAGGCTGTCAAATGTTGTATGGATAGAGGAGACCTTTCCTGAACCACTAGTTTCCTTGACACTTGAAACATGTGGACGGCTTCTGCCAGATGATGTAACAAGAGTGGCGGTGTGGCTAGAGCCTGGTGGAGTCTCAGAGAGGCTTGTTGCTACTGTGGTGAAAATTGAGGAAGTCCTGGTCACATTCTGACTAGTGATGGGCCAAGGCTTGGAGGACAGAGTCTGGGTAGCAGTGGTGGCAGTTCCTGGTGTTGGGGGTGAGCCTGCACTGGTGGCCGGCCCCTGGCAGTGGCTCACATTGCAGCATAGCACACGGATCATGTAGTTGTAGCACATCCCAAATTTGGCGTCCTGGTCCCTGTTGTGGCACACCAGACCAAAGCTGACATCACACTTCACTCTCTGATCCAGCATGTCCAAATTCACGTCTGGGTAGTTCTGGGCCACACACTGGATGTCCTGAGGCCGTCCACAGATGTCTGCCCCAGTGGCCCTGATCTTATCATATGTCTCAATGTCCCCTCCCTCTCTGTCAGATGAAGGGTAGTCCACATCAAACCACTCTGTCCACTGACACTGGGGTTGGCAGGTGGTGGAGGTCACAGGGCTGCCTACAGTGCTAGAGGATGCCGAACTCATGGGATGCTGAGTGGTCTTTGAGGTTGCTGTCAGAGGAGTGCTGGGTGGGGGTGACACACTTGTAGTCAGGATCCCAGAGGTGGGGATCTCTGAGGGATAGATGCTGGTGATGGAGCCTGAGGGAGACCAGGTCTCAACTGGACTCGTATTGAGATAAGGCTTGGAGGACAGAGTCTGGGTAGCAGTGGTGGCAGTTCCTGGTGTTGGGGGTGAGCCTGCACTGGTGGCCGGCCCCTGGCAGTGGCTCACATTGCAGCATAGCACACGGATCATGTAGTTGTAGCACATCCCGAATTTGGCGTCCTGGTCCCTGTTGTGGCACACCAGACCAAAGCTGACATCACACTTCACTCTCTGATCCAGCATGTCCAAATTCACGTCTGGGTAGTTCTGGGCCACACACTGGATGTCCTGAGGCTGTCCACAGATGTCTGCCCCAGTGGCTCTGATCTTCTCATATGTCTCAATGTCCCCTCCCTCCCTATCAGATGAAGGGTAGTCCACATCAAACCACTCTGTCCACTGACACTGGGGTTGGCAGCTCGTAGAGGTCATGGGGGTGCTGACTGTTTCTGTAACTGTGCTGGCTGTTGAAGTGACCATCTGTGTGCTGAGTACTGCTGTGGTGCTGGATGAAGCAACTTTAATGAGTTCTGGAGTTTTCCTGGTATGGGTAATGGTTGTGGTCATGGAGGTAGCTGTGTCTGAGTTCATGGTGGTGCTTCCTGGATGAGAATAGGATGGTCCAGGTGTGGTTAGGGATGTAGAGGAATATGACTTGCTCACCAGATCCATACTAATTGCTGTGACTGAGGGTGTTGTGGTTATATGGGTGCTATTTGACAGCATAGACTGACTTTTGTAAATGTCACTAGTGATCAGTGTTTGAAGATTGTTTGTTGTCATCGAGGTAGACTTGGGTTTAATGGGTGTGGTGGATGTGGCTGAGGTGCTAAAGGGTTGGCTGTTCCATGGAGTGGTTGTGGTTCTAGAAAACCCTGTGGAGGTGATTGGCGTGGCAGTGCTGGGAGCATTGGAAGAGGCTGTCCATGAAGTTGTGTTTGGTTTACCTGAGTGTGGTTCTTTTGACGTTTGGAGAAAACTGGTGGGAGAGACTGTAAGTGTAGACAGACTAGAGACAGGGAAATTCTCCGTAGTCCTGCTTGTGGCAATGGAGACAATCCTCTGTGTCCTAGGGGAAGAGGATTGCCTTAGAGTTGTGAATGATGTTGAGGGTATTGGCTCCTCTGGTGGCCACTTGCTTGTGGAAAAGGAGACTGTGCTGGAGAATCTAGGCTCTGATATGGGAGTGGAGGACAGTGGTCCTTCTGTGTTAGGGGATTCAGTCACTTTACTGGAGGTGGTAGACAGTGATCCAGTTGTGCTGAAACAGCTGGTGTCTTCCTCACAACAGAGTACACGGATGTGGTAGTTCAAACAGGTTTGGTTGTTGGCCTGCTTGCTGTTCCTGCAGATGAGTCCAAAGTCCACATTACAAACCACCTCCTGGCCCAGCTGCTGGAAGGACATGTTGGGGAAGAGGATTGCTTCACATTCAATGTCCACAGGTTTCTTGCATATCTGAGTACCAGTCTTGTTTCTAATATGATAGTAGGTCTCAATGTCTCCCCCAAACTGGCCAGGTTGGGGTTTGTCACTGTCCAACCAATCTGTCCAGGTGCACTGAAACTTACAGCGTGTGGAAGTAGTCCTCATGGTTGTAGGGGCTGAGGAGAGACCAGTTGTTAGCCATGATGAGCTTTGTGTCTCCCTGGGTGTGGGTCTGGCTGTGGAAAAAGCCCTGGTGAGGACTGTAGTTTTGTGGGGGGATGAAACAGACTCAGTGGTGCTGATGATGGTGGGCATACTGGACGCAGACCAGGAAGTGTGTGTGACTGATCTGGAATTGGAAGTGGTGGCAGTTCCTGGTGTTGGCGGTGAGCCTGCACTGGTGGCCGGCCCCTGGCAGTGGCTCACATTACAGCATAGCACACGGATCATGTAGTTGTAGCACATCCCAAATTTGGCGTCCTGGTCCCTGTTGTGGCACACCAGACCAAAGCTGACATCACACTTCACTCTCTGATCCAGCATGTCCAAATTCACGTCTGGGTAGTTCTGGGCCACACACTGGATGTCCTGAGGCTGTCCACAGATGTCTGCCCCAGTGGCCCTGATCTTATCATATGTCTCAATGTCCCCTCCCTCCCTGTCAGATGAAGGGTAGTCCACATCAAACCACTCTGTCCACTGACACTGGGGTTGGCAGGTGGTGGAGGTCACAGGGCTGCCTACAGTGCTAGAGGATGCCGAACTCATGGGATGCTGAGTGGTCTTTGAGGTTGCTGTCAGAGGAGTGCTGGGTGGGGGTGACACACTTGTAGTCAGGATCCCAGAGGTGGGGATCTCTGAGGGATAGATGCTGGTGATGGAGCCTGAGGGAGACCAGGTCTCAACTGGACTCGTGTTGAGATAAGGCTTGGAGGACAGAGTCTGGGTAGCAGTGGTGGCAGTTCCTGGTGTTGGGGGTGAGCCTGCACTGGTGGCCGGCCCCTGGCAGTGGCTCACATTGCAGCATAGCACACGGATCATGTAGTTGTAGCACATCCCGAATTTGGCGTCCTGGTCCCTGTTGTGACACACCAGACCAAAGCTGACATCACACTTCACTCTCTGATCCAGCATGTCCAAATTCACGTCTGGGTAGTTCTGGGCCGCACACTGGATGTCCTGAGGCTGTCCACAGATGTCTGCCCCAGTGGCTCTGATCTTCTCATATGTCTCAATGTCCCCTCCCTCCCTATCAGATGAAGGGTAGTTCACATCAAACCACTCTGTCCACTGACACTGGGGTTGGCAGGTTGTGGAGGTCACGGGGCTGCCTACTGTCTTTGTGGCAGTGCTGGCTGTGGAAGTGGACCCAGTCTGTGAGGTAAATACTGGTTTTGGCTGGGAGCTAGGCATTGTGTGCAAGGTGTTCTCGTTTGGTCTTTTAGTCCAGGTAGGGCTTGATGGGGGGAGACTGCTGACTGGGTTTGTGGACACAATGGGATGTGAAGTAGCCCTGCTTTTTGAGGTAAATGTCACTGTTTGCCTTGAGCTGTGAATCATATCCAAGGATGTCTCTTTCCCTTCTGTGGTCCAGGAGGGTCTGTACTTGGATTCTGAGGTTGCCGTCTGAGTACTGAGAGTGGGCAAAGTGGGTTCTCTACTGATCTCAGACAGGGAATGAGTGGTACTTGTGCCTGAGGTCAGGGAGGAAGTACAAGGCACATAATCACAGCACAGAACCCTCAGCTCATAGTTGTAGCAGATTGGGGGGTTCTGCTCACTGTTGAGGCATTTCAACCCCCAAGATGGATCACAGTTCACCTTCTGGCCCAGATTCTGTAAGTCCATGCTGGGGAACTTCTTTGCTCGGCACTCGATGGCAGCAGGGGTTTGGCACACCTGGTGCCCTTTCTGCCTCAGGTTCTCAAATGTTTCAAAGTCCCCACCTGTCATGCCAGGCTCTGGGTAGCTCTCATCATACCAAATGGACCAGCGGCAGACCTCATGGACACACACAGTGGATACAGGGGACACAGTGGGAGCTGAGCCTGTGTGAAAATGATAAAAGTTCTACTCACCTCCTCCCATCTCAGTGTGAAGGAACAGACGACTTGTCACTTTAATACAAGTTAGGCCCATTCCAAATCTTTTCCCTGGACCTAGCTAACAGTCTTGAGAGAGATCATTCACTGAGATGGGGTACACCAAGGGCAAATGGTACCTGAAAATTTCTCTGGTCCCAATGGCAGCTCTAGCAGTTATGCTAAGACTTCCTGGGAAATCATAGAGGGATGAGGGTCACAGATACCAGGCAGAGCCTGGGCAACTGGACAATGGGTTAGGACCAAAGATATCTCTGTAGCTAGAGTTCCCTGCATTTACAACTTGTCATCTTCCCTTATCCCAGATGTGGCCAAGCCTCTCTCTTGGTTAATATTGTAGTTAGGAGTTCCAGGGCTTCTAGAGACTCTGATATGGTCTTACCTGATATGGCACGGGACGCCAAGGTAGTGGTGAATGTGAATGGTGTGGTAGACAAGACTTCAGGGCACTTTTCAGCTGTGCGCATTATAGTCCCATTGTCTTTGCAGATGGCCACTAAGCATGCACCAAGGCCATCCGTGGTGTTGTAGACAACATCATCATAGTGGTAGGTACGGCCCTCATAGGTACATGTGCAGGCTGGGGGTTATATGTATTGGTTCAGCTTCTTCAGTCTCTAGCCTTCCTCCAACCCCAAACCCACAGACTTTGCTTACCTGTAAGGTTGTGAACACACTGGAGGCCACCAGGGGTGCAGATACTAGAGAGAACACAGGGGCTCTGAGGACCTATGAGCATCCCCTAGCTGGCACATGCTTTGGCCCACCCCTGCCCTCTCCCAACCACTCTGAGTCTCTATCTTATTCCCTCCTTGCCTCCTCTCTCACCAGCTCTGGCAATTCTCAGCTGTAGGAACCTGTGTGCCAATGTCATGGTAGTTTCCATCATCATCATAGCATCCACACTGGGCCACACACTTCATCTGGTCTTCATTGAAGAAGGGATGGCTGGGTGGGCACTGTGGATAGCAGCCTACAGAAGACAGGGGTAGCATTGACTTTCTATCCTCTTGAGCATGTATCCAGCTGCCCAGCTCCTAATCAGTAGAGAACCCTTGGTACACTGGGTCTATCCTAGAGGTACCATGTATGGGGTATAGGCCTGAAGACCTCCACCAACACATTCCACACTCACCTTCCAGGCCTGGCAGGTCAACAAGGCAGTGTCCAGCAGGGTTTCGACAGGTCTTCAGACAGGGTGCTCCACAGGGCTGGTAATGCCACTCACACTCCCCATGAGGGTTGTAGTAGTCACAGAAAAGAGCTAAGCACAGAAGACAGAGTCTACTAGGCCCCATGCTGGACTACACCCAGACATACAGGCCTTGGGCCAAGCAGATGGCCTTCTTGGATTCATTCCCTAACCCAGGTCCTGGAGTCCCCTCAACTACCACATATCAGATGTTAAAGAACCACTTGTATATATAGATACGTGCACACATGTACAAACACACACATATACATACACACACACACACACACACACACACACACACACACACACACACCAGAGTGGCCAGAATCCATCCAAGCCAGGACCTCATTCAGTGTCCCACCCTTCAGTACCATGGACAGAGCCCTACTCACGGCAGGTGTCTGGTGTTCTCCAGGACAAGCACACACCCACATCACGGCATGCCTGGGCATAGGCAGCCACAGCAGTGCAGAAACACTCGCAGTCTCCTCCTGAGTCACAGGCACATACATCATGTACACAGGCTTCATAGTACTTGGTGGAGTCAACCTGGAATGGAGGGGACAAGGTGCCACTCAGGGAGGATAGCAATGCCTGCCCAGAGAGCTGGTGAAGGTGGGGAGTATATGGAGCTAGCTGTAGTTCAAACCCCACACTAAGAGAATTTTGACCTAGTACTATGGCTGCTATCTGAGTGTCTCAAGTGGGAACTGTTCAACATCACCTTTCCCACTCACTAGTGCACCCACATACCATAACCTGCCACTTGTGCACCCATATACCTGAAGACCTGTCCATATGTATACCTATCTATTTGGCCACCTGTGTACCTGCTTATATGTCTATCTGCACACCTGAACACCCGTCTGCCTGTACAGCTGTTCATCTCTACACCTGGAAAACTGTGTACTTGCCCACCTATGCACATGCCTGAATGCACACCAGTGTGCTTGCCTACTTGTGACCTTCACACCTGTCTGTATGCATCCCTGCCTATGCCTGTGCACTTTCCCTCTTGTCCATATGTCTACCTATCCATCTACTTGTACAGCTGCTCACCTGCACAATACTGTGTACCTACCTACCCACACCTGCATAAGTATCTGCCTGCCTGCCTACCTGTGTGCCTACCTGCATACTTACCCATACATCTGTATGCCAACACATCTGGCCCACTTTCACACCTGCTTACCTTCACATGTGCACCTGCCCACCTGCACATCTTCACTAATACTCTTTGGGATCCCTTTACTTGGATCTGGCCATATGATCTATAGGTTTCATACCTGCAGGGCATTACTGTGGCTCCACTTCTGTTGAATTCTTGCTTTAGTTCACTGACCTCCATCCTATATGTGCCTTCTCACAGCTGACTTGTTCCCCGGATCGCTGTTTACATGCCTTCTGGTGGCTCTCTACTTGGCTTTTTTATGTGAGCCCTTCCCTGACCACTCTGCTACCTCACTCCAGTGGAGGATCGCTAGGGGACAGAAAATTTTGTCCCCCACCCATGTGAATTTGCTAGTAACCAGAATCCACCTGAACTTCCATACCTTTGAGAACATGCCCCAAGGAAATGAGTGGTGACTATTTCATCCAGCATTGTTTAACTTCCAGACTGGCACAGGTGTGGGACATGTGGTCACCCAGCCCCAACAAGGAAGAGTTGTCTAATTCTGTGAAGAAGAGCCCCCCCCCCACTCACACTGTACCAACTGTCAGACCCCAGAGTGCACTCAACTCTTGCTTTTGCCACTGAAGGCACATCCAAGTCAGCCTTGTCAGGCCACAGTGAACAAAGCCATGGAGCAGGATAGCCAAAGACTGCTGGGCACCTGTTCATGAGGTTGGGTGCTCAGGGTGCTCAGCACAAGTGAGTAGCACTGGCTAACCATGACTCCACATGAGCTGTTTCTGATCATGGCCAGAAAACCTCTGTTATGAAGCCGCTTTCCTAGCTGGATACTTGAGTCTTGGATTTAGTAACAGGAAGTAGCCTTTGGAAATCTACTGAGAGCCAGTTACCACTTCTTCTGGGGCAGTTCTGATGGTGTTCCTGATACACACTGAACAGGCCTGGGAGTCACCCAGAAGGATAAACAAGATGCCTGATTAGAAGCCATGGATGGAGACTGTAGTCAAGGATTGGTCCAAAAATAGTGTTGATGATCACGTGATGAGGATATACGCGTGAGTTTTTACTCATCTTGTGGAAGATTTAGACCTAGAACTTGAAAACCCAGAGCCATGGACTATGTGCTCTGACTGGGTCTAGATGGTCCTCAGAGGCTCGCTGTGTGTCTAGTCCAGCAAGACTCAATTCTTACCAGGAAGAAGCAGGCAACTGCAAGCCCTGTGAACCAAGGTCAGGCCCTACCTGGGAGTGGCAGGCAGCAAAGGTCGCACTGTTGATGATGCTGCACTTCTTTTGGGCCCAGGACTTGCGGTAAGGGTTGACAGTGCAAGGGTCCTTGGGAACTGGGGCATCTGGGCAGGATGGGGAGAACTTCCAGCTATTTCCAAACTCCAGCACATCACCCACCACAGACTGGCTGCGTGTGGTGAAGTCATTGATGGCATTGTCATCGAAGTTCCCACACAAGCCACAGACCCTTCCCTGTAGACACATAAGGAGAGAGAATCCTGAGCAGGTTAGGTAAGGTGGCACAGAGCCTAGCTTGGGAGTACCCAGTAAACTAGCAAATGGATGTGGGAATTGGGTCCTGAGGCAGGTGGGTGAGTTGCACTTATTCTCTTTAGAAGATTTTATCTCTGTACAGGCCTGTGGGAAAGGCTGGTTCACCAGTCATGAGTCCAGTACAGCCATTATTCAGTGCAATTTCAACTCATCCCTCTTGGAATCTGGTGTCATGTGTGGTCTCAGGGACCAGGACTTTCAAAATGAACCATTTCTCAGCAGCCTTGACAGTTGCCAGACCTTGACCTATCCTACTGGGTCTAGAAGCAGGGTGCATGGTGGCCACACTTGCCTTGTAATGCTGCTGCAGTCGGACAAACACACTGGTCTTCCTGTCCCAGGACACAACTATCCCACTGCGGATCTCAATGACCAGGAAGATGCCCATGTATCTGATCTTATATGGAAGGTCCCCACTTGGCCCTCTCTCTACCACCTTGAAGTTCCCTTCATGAAGAATCAGCTCATAGCTCTGCAGATGGAAAAATACAGTGCAACAGTTTTGGTCATGGTGTTTCATTGCAGCAATAGGAACCCTAACTAAGACACATCCCAAGCCAGCAGCTCTGCTTTCTGCTCTGTGAATTATGACTCCCTTTGCCAGAAATTGGGTACTGAGTGTACTATCCCTCCCAAATATACCCACAATTCCCAGGACTTTAAAATAACACTTTCCTAGAAAAAGAGCCTTTGGGGGATCTTGAGATGGGTTTTCTGAAATTACCCGGATGTCCCCTAAGCCATTCAGTGGCTGTCCATACAATGACCAGAGACATACAGACACAAAGCAGAAGGTCGTGAGTAGACAGAGGCAGACTGGAGTGATGGTGCCACAAACCAAAGACTGCTGGAACCCCTATCCCAGAAAGGCAGGAAGGATCCTTCCTCCTGACCTACAGGAAGCATGATCCCGCTTGCCTTGATCCAACTCTGGCTCAAGAATGGATGGAAGACAGTAGTCTGCTATTGTACGTCCTAGGTTTGGGTCACTTGCTGTTCTGTCCCTGAGAATAACTTATGGCTGGAGAACCAGGGGCAGAGCTGCAGGGGAAGGGAAGTAATCCCCAGTGGCTACAGGTACACTCTCACCTCCACAAAGATCTTGATGGCCTTGGAGCAGGTGGTCCCTGTGGTCCCACAAGGGACATTCTCAGTGACAATACGGAAGGTCCCATCAGTACTGGTGTTGCCTCTACAGTAGTCCTGAGAAGGGAAGAGATAAGGCTCTGGTCACAGTTCAAAATAAGTGGTGGGAAGGACAGAGAATGGTGAGTCATTTGGACGGGCCAGGGACCACACACCTGAGCCAAGGTATACTCGCAGCTGCCTTCAAAGATGTAGCGTTCACCATCAAAGGTGACAAAATGGCCATCCCCATAGGCCACACACGCACCCATACAGGGATGGTCAGTACACTCCCACCGGCGGTTCCTGCAGGTGCTGTGAAAGGAGAGGTCGTTGCTGACGAGGGTATTGCTCTCTGAGACTGGCTGTCCCAGTTCTGTGCTAACATGCCACTACACTTGGGGGATTAAGCTCAGAATACATCAAGCTTTGGTCTTGTGTGGGTGGATATCCAATCACTCCCAGGTGGAGAAACAGCCCTTCCTCCACAGAATGGGGTTCTATGGGTACCTTCGCCCCCAAGACACATGCTGAGGCCCCTGAAATGCCAAGGCCAACTCAGACCAGTGTCACTCTAGATACCTACTGATCTCCTCTGAGGGTCCCCAAACCTACCAGTTATTGCAGTCTACCCGGATGATCTCCCCAGGTCTGTAGGTGGCCTCATTGTGTACACAGGGGCAGTTCTCCTCAGCAATGCAGCCCCCATTCCCATCTGCTACCAGCCCTGAGGGACACACACAGCCCGAGACACAGTGCGTGCTGAACTGTGGGCACAGGTAGCCTGGTCAGGGACCGAAACAACACCCTGTTCCCTCATCCCTATTCAGGTGTCCAGGACACCAAGCAAGGAGACCCTGTTCTGGGAGTGCCCAGAAGGAGGCCATCCAGGGTCAGCAAGACCCAACACCACTGGCCTTCCAGTGCCATCTCCCCCTCCCCCACCGACCCCACTCTTCCTGTAGCTTAGGAGGAAGCTTGGTGTTGAGCAACAGAGAGGACTCACACAGTCCACATCCAGTGTGTGGCAGCTTCTGAGGCATTCAGCCCCTTTGTCACCCACTGAGGCGTTGTTACAGTCCAGATATACCATAGGTGCCTGGCACTCTGGGGAGGACAAGCATGTGAGAGAGGCCTGGAGTGAGATATTTTTGGTCCCTGTGGTCTCCTGACCCTGTCTTGCTGCTCAAACTGTAGCAAGCTTGGATATTGCATGGCTTTGTGCTCTGTCCCGAGCATCCAGGCTGTGTGGACTTTCCCCAGAGGATATAGCCCACAACCCCAAGAGCTATGTAACCACATTGCCAGAAAGCCCATGGGCCCTCCTCCCTTAGACCATCTTGGCACAGCATCCATGGCAAAGTGCAAGTTAGTCAGTGTGGAATGGTACCTGTACTCCTCTGCATCAGGGCTCCAAGACAAGTCAGTTTCCCATTTTCACAGGAGCTACAAGAGACAATAGTACCCCTGCTCTAGGCCCAGTGTCTCCTACATCCTACCCCCAGTATTTCCCCCACCTCACCATGGTTTGGACGACCTTGCCTCCTCCCAAAGCCAAGAGGGTGCCTGCTGTTGGGGGTCCTTGGGAAGACCCCAGATTCCACATTCCCATACACAAAAGATTTAGTCATCAGCCTATAGTAATACTAGAAGGTGGTTGTACCCTTAAGAAGAAATGCAGAAGCCCACAGACTCTGAACCAAGAGCAGGGGAGTCTGCATAGGACCAACCTAGGCCCTCTGCATGTGGATGACAGTTGTGTAGCTTGGTCTGTTTGTGGGGTCCCTAGCAGTGAGATCAGGACCTGTCCCTGGCACATGAACTGGCTTTTTGGAACCTGTTTCCCATGCTGGGATGCCTGGCCCAACTTTTATGCAGGAGAAGAAGCATGGTCCTGCCTCAACATGATAGGCTATACTTGGTTGACTCATGGGAGGAGGAGTGGATGCGGGTAGATAGGAGGTGTGGGGAGGGGCTGGGAAGAGAGGTGGGAGAAGAAACTGTGGTTGGTATGCAAAGAAATGAAAGTTTTACTAAAAATGGTTTAATAGAAAAAAGAAGTAAGTCCAAGTGCTCACTTTCTTTTCTTTGCTGTGAGGAGAGTTTTGTTCCACACAATAACAAGCCCAAAGCCACGGGGCCACTCAGTCATATCCTATCATGGGCTGAACCTCCAAAACTGCGAAACCAAGACAGACCTCTCGGTGTCTTTTCTTGGGCTTTTGTTGTAATAGAAAGCTCGCTTACATGGTGAGCTGTAAGGATCTGCCTTTGAGGCCAAGGAGAGAGTAGGACCTCAGCTGAGACGTGCTTGTCAGTGCTTCTGCCCTGATGCCACAAGACTCTCAGAACAACCTCCCTGCCCTTTCTCAGGGGATCTGAAAGGTTCCCCCAACACCAGCATGCCCCAAGTATGTATTGAAACTGTCAGTGAGGAAGCCACACAAACTTCCGGGTATAGAAGGACCAGCAGCTAGCAACCCCACAGACAGAGATCTGCAAGGATGGGTGAGGGCGATCTTCCTTACCACGCCACACCATTGTCCATAACAAACTCTCTGGGAGCCACCACAGTCCCATGGAAGAAGCAGGGGCACTCCTCATCACGCACACAGTGGCCCTTGTCGTTCAGGAAGGTGCCTTCAGGGCAGGTGCAGCCATCCACGGGCACAAAGGAGATGCCACAGGTGACATCGGCCTCACTCAGAGAGCGGCAGGTCGGCTCACAAGTACTCACTGCATAGGAGTAGCTCTTGTTTTGGGGACAGTTGTTCATGTACTTGACTATAGGAAGAAGAACGGGACAGAGAGATCAACGGCTGGGTGAACTGGCCCAGCCCTTGTTCTTCCCTGCCTTGGACTAGTGACGCCATTGTTGATACAACAGGAGGCAAGGTGCTTGTAGACATGGGACAGAAGACTGATAGCTGCTGCTGTCAAGGGTCCCAAGTGCCCCCATGCCAGAGTGACAGGATCCAGGTGGCTACTGTGGGGAGGTATAACCTGTGACAAGGAGCCTTGCTGGCCCACAGCATACTCACAGCAGACACTGTCCCTCCAGCCACTGAGCAGCACGCCTTTGGCGGCACAAGCACGCACATAGGAGGACAGGGCCGCGCACATGCAGTCCTCACTATTTTCACAGTTGCATGTGTCAAATATGCAGTTCTGGGAGACAAGAGTTCAGGAAGTCAGGTACCTCTGACTCCTAGAGCCCCTTATTGCTTATTTAACTTTCCCATCAACATCAGCCAAACGCTGGTCAAGGCCTAGACCTGTGGCTTCCCAGCAAAAGGCACCCTGTGAGAGACTTTGACAAGCAGTGTCTTGACACAGTGGCCTGGCATTCATGTTAAGGACAGTGTCAGAGGTCACAGGGCAAAGTGCCAGCCAGAATGGAGACCAGACCTGGGGTCTGGGCATAGAAGCTGGAAGACCTGAAGCCTAAGTAAGGTAGGGGCCCTGAGGAAGAGTCTCCACAAGACCAGGGCAGGTCCAACTTGTTTCTGAGGTATCATCATAACTAGGCGGCACATAGAGGACCTGGATGGGAAGGGCAGAGTATACTGAGACAAAAGCCAGCTAGGCTCAGGAGGGTGTGTCCAGTCATGGAAGAGGGATACTGGAGACGCACCCTTGGGGATGGAGTGATGTGCTAAAGTTTAGGGCTTTGGAGTGCTGTTTAGGGTTAAGTTGTGTCCCCCAAAAGGTGCTCTGGGGTGCTCTGTCATGTGTGAATGGGCCCAACATAGAAAGAAGCCTTTAAGGGGGAGCTCAGGGGGACAAGGCCGTGAAATAGCTCTGCTCCAGCACCTGCTGTCCTTGAAAGAGGGAGGTTGAACACACACTAAAATTATTAAGGACCCTTCTGAGCCCCCAGAACCATCTTTTTCACCTTCTTAGTTGGTGAACCCCTTGACTGAGAAGTAAACCCCAGAGTGGGTAGTGGTGTGAGAGCCTTGTGAGTCCAGCCACCAAGGACTCCTAAGCGTGCCCCACCCAGGCCCAGCAGGTAATGGTCTCACCGAGTAGAAGGGTGCTGGGCTGACGGTGGCATGGCAGGCCGAGAAGACTCCTGAGCTTTCAGTGAGCTTGGAGCACCACTCCTGGGCATAGTTCTCTAGGGAAGGGAGAAATGTGGAGTGCCCCTCACCTGCTTCCCAGAGGCTGTCCCTGTCCTCAACCCTAACCCTCATGCCTTCCTGCCTCCATGGGGGTTCTCTGAGCCCTTCCCCCAGGGGTTCATCTGGCCCGGAGGTCAGGAAGGATGGTTACCAGTCTCCACACTGTAGGAGCAGGGGTCTTCAAAGGTGTTCTTGGTGTTGGGGCAGGAGGCTTGAGTCTTCCAAGTGTTGGAGAAGGCGGCTCCTGTGCCCTCCACCACCCCACTGAGGGCTGTGAAGTCATCGGCCTGATTCTGGTTGAAGTTCCCACATAGACCTAGGGACCGGAGTTAGGAGGTCAACAGGTTGCTGAACCTGGCCACTCTCCTCAGGGCTGTTGTCCCTCTAATGACTATCAGAAGAGGAAAGTCCCTTCCTCGTGTCTGACTCCAGAACTGCCTACAGATGAGCCCCTAACAGGGACAGCCCAATCAGGGCAACACAGCTGGACCTGTCTTCCAAGGCCACTCCACAGGTTACTGATTAAATGTCAGGTGTGCTGGGTGCTGCTGTGGTCTCCACTGAGCCCTGGAGCCAATGTTTCCCAACCCCCTTCGACAGGGGATCCCACTTCACAGCCTAGAGCTAGGGCGGGCCCGACCCCCAATAGTCCCCCTGCATGGTCCCACCCTCAAACCCACTGGTGCCTCACCACACATCTGGCCACGATAGGAGGGGTCCAGACTGACAAACACCTGCATGATGGGCACCAGCTGCACTTGCAGCTGCAGCCCCATGCCTGTCTGCACCACGATGAAGAAGGATGATGGACTGAAGATGGTGGTGTTGGCTGTAAGGTGAGAGGTGTTAGACATGTTTGGAGCTGACCCACCAAACATGACAGTGCTGGCTGGGACAGGAGGTAGGGCACCTAAAAACATCCCATGCCCAAAGTTTCCAAACATGCATGGGTCATAAATGACTTCCATCTGATCCACATAGAGCATGGATGACACTACCAGACATAGCATTTCCACCAAACCAGGGGTACCCCATGGGAAACACTGGAGCTGCCTGAGGCCAGGAGCTAGCCTGAAAGAAGACTGTTCACTGAAAGTGCCATCCCTGGCTTACTGTCCCAGGGAGCCACACACCTGCAGACAGGGGCAACTGGGTAAAGATGGAGTTCAGGAACACAGCACCATTAGCCTGGATCCGGATGACCTGGTATGGGGTGACACAGTCAGTACCCACGGGATCCATCCAACCACTTACAGGAAGAATTCTGATAGAATACCCTCCCCAGCCCAGTGCCAGAGGCAGGATGGAAGCTCAGGCCTGCCCTAGCAGTGGGTTCTTACCACCTGGGTAGTGGGTTTAGAGAGGGAGCAGCAGCCTCTCTTTACTCTGACTTGTCACTACCCTGTATGCTCCCTACCTCTGTCACTTGCAGCCCAGAATGTGATGGTAGTCAGAGCCCCGGTGCTCACCATGTCCCCACTGTTGAGGCTGAGGGTGACGGCTTTGAGACAGTTCTCAGAATCCGTCACTCCACACTTCCGTAGATCCACCAGCACAGTGAAGCTGCTATCAGCACATTTCTGTCAAGAAACCCAAGACATGTGGTTGGATGTGGAGTTCCCTTATGCACAACTTCTCAAGACCTGGAGGGCTTCTGGGGGTGTCCTTGTGTACCCTGATTTGCCACAGAAAGCTTGTCCTGGGGCCTGGGACTTCCCTGTCAGTGTAGGGGTTCACCATGACCTTCACCCCTGCTGTGGACCCTCACAGGACCCTAGCTGATATCTGTGGACCAGGATTGTGGCCGCACCTTGGACAGGATGTAGCCGCAGTCCCCATGCACATTGTAGAATTTCTCATCATAGGTGAAGATGTGAGATCCGCCTTGCACAGAGCAGGTCCCAGAGCACGGCAAATCCTGACACTGCCACAGTCCCCCGAAGCAGGTGCTGTGGGGAGTCCATGAGAAGAAGGGGTACGGTGGGAAGAGGCAAACCTTACCACTCATACATCCACAAAGACCGCTTAGCTTACCAGGAGCTGCAGCTGGTGTTGAAGGACTCTCCAGGGGCATATGTGTAGCCACCATGGGTACAGTGACACTGCTCCAGGGGCAGGCAGCCCAAGTGTCTGATATCATCCAGCACAGTGCCTGGAGGAAGGGACAGTGAATACAGATGCCCCCCCTACCCCTGCACAGGCAGCAGGGGGCAGCTTGCCTCCAAGGCAACCCCAGCCCTAGGCAGGGAGAAGGGCCCCTGGTCTAGAATGCTGCCTCAGCCTGAACTGTTTGTGATAAGTTCCTCTGGCCCTCAGTTTTCCCACCTGACCTCAAACACTCAAGACACCTGTTCTCTGTACACAGATAATCAAATCTCTGCCCTTAGACATGGGGTGCAACCCCTAGTCAGGTTCATTGCCATTAGAAGTAGAGAGAGTTAGCTCAAACGGAGACCATGACCCAAAGGAAGCCATGGAGGTGGGGGCAAAGGGCACAGAGCCTGCCTGGGGGACAGAAGCATCCATCCACGCAGTGGTCCTCGCAGAGCTGAGAGCGTTGGGGATTGGAGCAGGTGTCCACACAGGGAGAGCTGCACTCGCGGTGTTCCATGTTGAAGGGGCATGTCCAGTCTGTAACAGAGGCAGCACTTGACTTAGGAGAAGTGATTCCTGATGGCTTCAGTCAATGGGAGCCATGCCCACTCCCTGCTCCCATGCTCACTGAGGTCCCAAAAAGTCATCTGCTAGGTAAAGCAGTGGGCTAGAAACCAGAGGCATAGAACTTCTCACACATCCTTCTTTACCTATGACCACCCGAGACCACTGCTCTGCCGGAGACCCTACCTCAAGATTCTAGAACCATAGATTCTTGCTGTGCCCAGGGACACAGCTGGATTCCCACTCTGGACTGAACGGGTCCACCAGAACCCTCAGGCACAGCATCTTCCCTTCAACTTCCCCATTACCTCCTCTTTCCCTGGCATTCACCCTCTCTCCATGGCCCTTAAGTGGCTCTTTCTACCTTGACTTCCCAGCCAGGCTCTAAGCTCAAGATTGGCCCTTAGAAAGACCCTGGGCTATACTGTAGTGAGGGTGCTCACTGCAAAGATCAGGACTCCTCCAGTTCTGTGGATGGCCCCCTGCATGGGCACACTGGCGGGAATATTCAGCAAAAGTGGCACATGGGCACGTGGGGCAGAGGCACAGGTCCTGAACACAGGCATCCAAGTACATGTTGACATCTACCAGGGCAGTGCACTCGGCAAAGGCAGGGCCAAGCAGGATGTGGCGGCAGATGTTCTCCTAGGGAGCACAGAGAGCTAAGGACCTTCTGACCCTCAAGCAGGATTGTCATGACACTTGTAATGGGAACCCTGGCCCTCCTAGGCCATGCAGGAAGCCCCTTCTTCCCCTGGAGGTTCCTTCCAGCCACACATCCATTTGTCCATCTGTTCATCATCCATCATCTACCTATCATCCAACCACCTCCCATCTGCCAAGCACCATTCATTAATTCATCACTCATCTTCCCATCAATCACCTACTTTATTCATCCATCCATCCACTCATCCATCATTCATCTACCCATCCCATCTATTATCCATCCATCCATCCATCCATCCATCTTCCTTATACATTATTCTACACAAATACTGTGCTATGCCTAGGTATAGAGCTCTACTTGGCTCTGAGGGAGGCACCCAGGGTTCTCGGTTTCTCCAACCTCCTACTTCAAGACTCCAAGACATGCTGACTTGTGACTTGTGCACTCAGGAGAATGCAGAATGCACCCCTGTGTGGTGGCTCAGAAGAGAGGGGAATAAAGATAACACCCACCCTTAGTCGGCCCCTATGAACTCAGTGCTGCTACCCAACATCTTCCTACTCCAGCACCCTCAGATAGGCCAGGGCTTGGCAACATCCTCATTCACTTCACAACTGAGGTAGGACTCAGATATTCTATAGCTTCAGGGATTCTAGGATCAGATCCAAAGGATAAATCCTCCCTGCTTACAGAAGGGACTTCTTGAGTGTCCACCTCGTCCCTCTGTGTGGTGGTGGGCACACATTTCCTCCACACACATAACCTACACTTAGAGAATACTTGTGCCCTGGTGAATGGGTTGTGACTTCCATCAAAATGTGATACATGTGGTTCTACTGTGGAGAGCCAACCTGGCCTGCCTCCCTCAGGCCCAAGCAGCAGCACCCTTGGGGCTCAGAGGTCATTCCTGTGCTGTCTAGTCACCCAAAGATGCTCCCCAATCTTTGGCCAGGCAGTTCTCTAGTCTGAGATCAGTTGATGCAGGTCTTGCACTATCCCCAGCCTTGGGAACTGTGGCATGATCAATGTGCTCACCCTATCTGTGCAGTTGTTGACAGCTGAGGGCAGGGTGTCCTGGCATTGCTCTGTAGGACCATCCAGCTTCTGCAGGTTCCCAAACTGTACAGGAGTCAGTCTGGTGTCTGCAGGAAAGAGAGCTCACAGTCAAGAGATAGACTTTCTGAGGCAGCTATTGGGGGACTTTATTTGGAACACACACTCACATGCACACATATACACACACACCATACACACTCATACACTTCCCTCCTCGATGTCTCTGCAACCCCTCCTCCCATGTCCCTTCTGGATGTCCTTGATTTTCTAGCCTTTAGGACCACCTAGCCTGAAGACTCAGTGGCACTCACTGTGGGCGTAGAACTCATTGACAGCTGGGAGCCCGTTGAAGTCGCCGCACAGCCCACACGTCTGGTTGGTATATTTGGAGTCCAGCTCCAGCTGAGGGTGACACAGAGCAACTCCAGCCTCAGGGCTTCTGCTCTGGCTCCAGTTGCCTACTTGGCAGCTTCCCACCCCACTTTCCCAGGGGACAAGAGAAGATATTCCCCCAATAGTTTGTAGGGTCCCTATTGTAGGCCCGGGGACTACAGGGTCTGTGAGAGAGCTGCAAAGGGCTGTGAGTGAACTGTGAGGATATGGGGAAGGCTGTACGGGCTGTGGAGACTGCAGGAAGCCTGAGTGACTGAGAGCTTATGAAATCTGTGGGGGAGCTTGTGAGGTCCATGAAAACTGTGGGGGTTATAGGGGGTGATGTGGGTGTGTGGAGATCTACAGGACTGAGAGGAATTATGTAAGGCCTTTGTAGGGTTATGGGGGGGCTGTAGGGAACTGTGGGTGAATGTCCTCACCAGGGCACTATCTTCATTCCACAGGAAGGTGAGGACCAGCCGGATGCCGACCTTCACGTAACCACTGCTCTTCTCCATCAGAAGACCTGCACGGCTGTAGGGTAGCTCCACCCTAGATAGAAAGGTCAGCAGGGATGAGCAGGGGCTGTCCTCCCTACTTGCTCTGCTTCTGACCCCTCCCCAGAGCACCAAGTGGGGACAGAAAAAGGTCTAAAGGCCTGGCCTGAACATACTTCTCCCCAAGGCCCAACTCACCGCTGTCCGTCCACCAGGACAGAGCCACTGAACAGCTCAATTACCAGCCCCTGGGCCCTGAGGACCACATGAGTGACCATGGGCCTGGAACCCTCAAGACCACGACGCAGTTGGATGTTGAAGTCCTCATAGGTGGCCCCACAGTGTGAAGAGAAGACATAGTTACAGAGGCCAGGGAAGCGGAACATGTCACCGTCGAAGGTCTTATAGTGGAAGTCACCCCATGTGCTGCACACTCTCCCATTGTGTGCCAGGTTTATGGCTACAGGGAAACCAGATAGAGTCATCAAATGCCACCAACCCATGCCCAGATACCCAAGGGACAACCTCCTAGGGCCAAGGCAATATCTTTGGAGCAGAAAAGGCAGCTACCCATAGTTATGTGAGCCAGCTCTCTGCTACCCCACTCCCTCACTGATTGAATAAAACCTAAAGACCCAGACCCATCTCTCATCCCTTTTATCCAGACACCCCAAGGTGGTCAACAGATGTTCCCAGGGCAAGTTCCAGACCCTGTTCAGAGCTGTTTAGGGGCCCCAACCTATGTCAGCTTCAACCAGACTGGCAAGTCCCACCCCCACTCCCACTCCTTGGCCTGGCTGGCAGATACTGTCCACTTACGGCTCATGCTAGGGAAGACAGTGATAGGTGGGATGAAGGTGACATGCTGGGTGGACGAGGATGTGGGGGCTGCAGGAGAAAGGTCAGGTCATACTGGGGATGTTGCTGGAGATACCCTCTCTGGCTACCCACCCTCTTCAATGCCCAAAGAAATCAGGAAGCCCATGACTAGTAGGATGGTTTCAGGCTATCCAGTTTCTCCATGACCATTCCTGGACTCTCCTCCGGAAAACTTCTCCTGTCTATCCAGGAGCTCTTCCTCTCTGGGTGTTCCTGTCTGTGTGTGCCCAGCACTGCCTTCAGGCAGAATGGACTACACCATCTGCCTGTGCCACCTGAGCCCCATCCCACTCACTGCTACCCCTGCCACCAGAATATGACTCCCCAACCCAGAACCTGAGCCACATACCGCTGTACACTTTCTGACCGTCTTCAGTAAGTTCTGGGTGTTTCAAGCTCAGCTCTACCTGGCTCTGGCTCTCTGCAGTAAAGGGGAACATGAGTCAGGCCATGGCCACTGCTCTGGCTTAGTGGGAAGCATACAGACAGGCTCTGGTCCCAGGTCAAGGCCTTCCTATAATCTATAGAAACCTGAATGGACTTGGGCCTGGTGATCCCAACCCCATCAGCTGTAATAACTTTCAGTCACTAAACATCACCAAAGAGCCAGGTGTCTTCAGGAGTTCTGGCCCTTCCAGACTAGTCCCTCCCCTGCAGTGGCTCTTGCCACCTGCACCTATGGAGTGACACCTAGTCTTGCTGGTAGTAAGGCAGATGTTGCCAGTGGCTCAAGGAAGCAAATCAAGAAATGATGTTAGTATCAGAACTGTGATCATCTGTTGAGAGGTGACCATCAGCCCCATCACTTGAGTCCCTTGGAAGACAAAGGCTGGCTTTGTTAGGGAGAATACAATTAGAGGTTTCTAAGAGGGATATAGAGGAATAAACCTATGATCAGAGGCAGCCCCAGCCTGGATCTCTGAGTCAGGGCAGGTAGCATGAGGGCTTCAGTTCTTGGTGTAAAATGTCCACTCTCAGTGGCCTGGATTGTCCACTGCCTCTGGGCAAGGCCACCTCCACAGCCTGACTGCTAGAGGCCCAGGAGACAGCTTCAACCTCCACAACTCAAGCTTCTAAGCCTGATGTCTCCTTAAGGCCAGCCCATTGCAGGAGACCATGTCCCCCAGGCCTAGACCCAAATGGCTACTTGCTCTGATGCCATGGGCAGAGCGGCTTCCTGTTTGATTTTCCCAGCGTGTCCAACTGACATTTGGAAACCGCAGGGACCGTCCTGTGCATTAATCCTTCCTCAAGGGCCCCGCTTGACTGCATTTCCCAGAGGGCACGGCCTCTCCCTCTGTCCATCATTGATCCCAGATCCACAGCCTCTCCCAAGTGTGTTTGGCCCAGCCTGTCCTCTGTCATCTGATAGAGAGCCCCACAGGTGAAGATACCCCCCCACCCCAGGCACTGCTCTATGCCAGTCCTCCTCAAGCTGAGATCTTTGTCTCCACTTATCCAGAGAGTTGTAGCCACACACCACAAAATCTTGGTCTGGGTTACCAATTCCCATCTAGACAAGAACCAATTTCCCTTTATGTGAGGGCCCACCTTCTCATCCTTACCCTAGGCACAGTTGTCACAAAAGCATGTTTCCCCACAACCCAGGGCTTAAATTTGCCCTTCCCAAATAACATGAGTGAGGATGGAGGGCTGACTGTTCACCAGGTAGGCTCAACACTCTGATAGACAGGACTTGACATGGAGAGAGCCACATTATGAAGGGCCGTGGCCCAGGAGAGCAGTTACCAGCCAGCAGATAGCCTTGGAAGCAAGAGGGACAACCATGGCCTCTCTGGCTCTCAAAGAATAGGCTCTGGGGACACCACCCTACCTCACTGTCTGTCTTCTTTCACAGATAGAGGAAGCCTGGAGCTGAGGTTCCTTCCTGCTTAGCCTCCTAGTCTAGGGAACAGAGCTTGGGAAGGTCGTGGCACTTGGAGATTCAGGCTAGCTCTGCTTGCTTACTGCTGAGCCCTGTGGGAGCCATCTTTCCAATGCTGTTGACAGTATTAGTATTGCAGCTTTCTCAAAAGCAAACAGGCAAAGGAAAACAGCTTAACTGACAAGGGTCACACAGACCACCTTATTCAGCCCAGAGTTCAGACTACAGCTCTGAGTATCGTATCCATCAGATCTGGCTCCAGCCCTAATACCTGGAGGTAGAATCTACTTCACCAAGGAGGTCCCAGACTTTGGTGAAGATCACCTTGGCACTTGTGATTCCAGAAGTGGGGGGGGGGCGGGCGGCTGTCCTACCTAGGAGTCTCTGTCCCTACTGATTCTGGTACTGGCCTCTCTGACTCAGAAAGACCTCTGTAGTCCCCATTTACCTCCCATTCCTGTTCATTTCCAAGGCCAAGCTGTTGTGGAGTTTCTACCAGGGTTTGTACATCGAGGTTTAGAAGACCTAACCTCTTTCAGACACCTCCATCAAAGCCAGGCCCTTAGGCTGCTGACATTGCTACAGTGCGGGACACAGGAGCCAGAGCCCAGAGAACTATAAGACCTAGGACCATGGTTTTGGGGACAGTGGGAGGTGCCTGTCATCTCAGGGGGGAAAATCCCCAAGTGGAAGTCATCTCTCTGGCAAGATGGGTTTTAGAATGCAAGGGGCTTTGGCCTTACCTGCTGGCCACACCTTGAACAAGGCCACAGAAGCCCAGACCAGAGCCCAGCTCCAGCTCCTGCTGCCCATCCTGGAGGCAGCACAGAGGGCAGGCAGGAGAGACTGAGACAAGGCGCCTGCTCCCTGGGGGCCTGGACTTATATAGCAAAAGACCTTGGCCCAGTGCCTAGTTCCTAGGCCAGGTAAGGCACTGTCTACTCCCTGTACAGCCACGTGTGTTTGCTCTTGGGGAGGGGCCATGGCAGGAAGAGGCCATGGAGGAGGAAGGATTTGTAGCATTGGGCCACCAGACAGAGTGCCCCCACCCCCTGCAGCTTCTGAGAATTGGGAGGGAGTGGACAGGGCAAGGAAGGGCCAGTACTTGGACAGGGGTGGAGCTGGCTACTCTGGATTCAAAGCCCTAGGCCTATGGGTTGGGTATTTGGTCAGACAGTCCCATGTCAGCTCCTCTGAGAGTCTGGACACTACAAGGATCAGGGTCAAGGGGGCAGCAACCTTGGCTTGTTTTTGCCTAGGAAGTTAACCCCAGGTGCTCAGCACTGAGTTCCAAAAGAATGGGCACGGCTTGAGGGTGGACCCATTCCTCAAGGGTCGTCCCTCTGCCTGGAAGATGGTGGCCAAGGGACTCTGACTATGCTCCATCCAGATGGCCATGGATCTGGTAGGGTCCCTGTTCTGTGTAGCTTCTGGGGGTGCAGGGTAGAGGGGAACCCTCACAGACTCTGAGAAAGGATGCCTCTCTGGGCTCCTGTCTGCTGCACAGCTCAAGCTCACAATGAAAGTGAAGCCCGGTATTGGCTTGGGCCAATGCAGGCCACAGACTTCCCCTGTTGGACTCTACCTCTTCCCAGACCCAGCCTATCAACCCTAGGCCTGACAAAGAAGATTGTCAAGGGTCTCAAAGGCCTTGGACCTGCCTGAGGCTTCAGCTGATGGAACTGGTGAATCCCATACCATGGGGTGGGGGAATAGGGAGTTTCCAGACCCTACTGCCCATCCTGAATGGGAGTCTATCAGTTGTACTGGTTAGGTTTCCCAAGGGTTGTGGAGGGCCATTTCCTAGACAGTGAACAAACCCACCAATGCCATTTCTAGGCTGCACAAAGAGCAGGATGTCATGTCTTAGCACTGCTTTCCTGTTTGATGTCCACAGAATATGTTCACATCCCTTCACTTACAGCAATGCAGCCACCAGCAATGCACACCAGATCATAGCAGTCTGAGAAAGTTCCCAGGGGTGGGCCCTGTTGGGGGAGTGGCACGGTGTTTGAGTGACTTCAGTATCCTGGAAGTCCTTCACTGACTGCTCCTGCACTTAGCTTTCTGATAACAGATTCCTAGATATGGAATGTTGGGAAAGGAAAAAGCCTTTGAACTGACTCACCACCAAGAGGGCAGCTGCCATCAAACAGCAGAACACAGGTAGTGCTGGTGAGGATGTGGGGAGGTGGGAACGCCGCCCAGTCAGTGAGCAGCCAAGTGGGGCCAATACTAGGGGACACCCTGACACTTAAGTTACAAGTAGAACTGCTGAATGGCCTAGCAGTTCTCCTCTTAAGTACATTCCCCAGAAAAAGAGAAAACAGTGACTAATACTGGCACTCCTGATCTAATAACCCCGTTCATGGATGCTAAAACAGGAGTATCCCAATGGCTTGCACAATGGCTGAGCAAACAATGGCCCATCCCTACAGTGGTATAGTATATAGACATTTAAATAAAGAGGGCATTCTGATACCCACAGCAACCTGAGTGGACCTTGAGGATCCTGGTCTCTAAAGAGAGAGTCCTGTAGGATCCCACTACTGAAAGGATCCCAGAGCTATCAGAGCTACAGAGACAGATGCCTCTGGCATCCTATCTTTAATGGGACTAGGGTGTCATCTGGGAAGATGGAAAGTCCTAGAGGTGGATGTAGGCAGCTGTGCATGCTGCTGAGCTGTGCCCTTGGATGTAGTCAGGGTGGACAAAAATATACCATTATATCAATAATAATGTCAAGAGTCTGCTTGCATTTACTCCTTGCATGGCAGATGCCCCCAGGTACCTGAGTGTGCTAAGGCTGGCTGCCGGGCTGACCCCTGTCTTTCACCTTTGTCTGTAGTTTCTTTAATGCCAGGAACACTAATGTGTATAGCACATGGGATCCTGCTTAGAGATCCAGTGCTGGGTGTGGGATGGCACATCAGACCTTAGTTCTGTCTGCTGCCCACCAGGGTCTTCAGATCCACAGTGTCCTCTTTGATGTCCAGTTGCACTTTCCACTGCTAACTGGCGCTGCTGAAGGACACCCAAGGACGGTCTGGAGAGTGGAATGTCCCCTTTCTAGATGGTTTGTGTCAACAACTGTGGCTTGCCTAGACCACTACTGCAACTTGCTCCCTTTGGCCTTCCCACCTGCACACAGGCTGGGCAACAGATGGTGTTCAATTGCACTTAATTCACTGATAAGCTGCCCTCAGCAGGAGAAGCCCATGGACTCCCACCTCTAGAATACCCATTGCCTGGAAAGCTGGCTACATTACCAGTTTCTCTCCCCTGCCCAGGACCTGGCACCCTGTGTTCACTGAGCTGGGCCCAGTGGGCCTCATCCACCCCCGGCTCAGGTGACGTTGCCAACTCCTGTCTATTCTCACTCAGAAAAAACAAAACAAAACAAAACACTGTAGCCTTTGCGCCCACAGGCAGCACACAATAGGTACCCAATAGATGCACAAATTGCACGGGGGTGGGGGTGGGGGCTGCAGCTCCAAACTAAGTCCTTTCCTTGTTCTGGCACTGAGCATGTCCCTTGGGATGGAAGGGTGACAGCTTGTTGGGGTCGCGGCTGTTGAGACATCCCGGATGTGGTGGCCACCCAGCCTGTTTGCATAGCCTTTGCAGTTTACCTCTTCACAGTTGAGGGAGTTGGAAGCTGTGGACAGGGAGGAGAGGAACAAGAGGGATATGGCTGTTCCTGCTTCACAAGGGGAGGGGGGGCGAGTGGCTGGCCAGCCGCCTCCTGGAGTGCAGAGTGTGTCTGTGGGTGCCTCGGCTATGCCAGGAACCAGCCCTGTGGTTTTGACCACAGAGCCTGGGGCGGGACCCTGTCCTTCATCCTGGCCTCTGAGTCCAGGGCCAGCCAGGACAAAGGGAACTGCACTGGGCCACACAGGGCTCAGGGGTGAACATGGTCCCTGTGGACAAAGGTTCCCCAAGACCACAGAGAGTCTGTGTTGACTCAGTATGGTCAGGCCTGTATCCCCAGTACATTCAGAGGTTCTTAGCAAGACTGGTCTCCAAGAGGAAACAGATGGAAAATACATGGCTTTCATGGCCTCCAAACTCCAGCCTGTCACAACAGAAGCTGTATGGCGACACTGCAGACACTATTGAGGAACATCCTGGTCCTCTAAGTGTCATCACATGAGAAAGGCTTGGTATGCACCTCTACCTTTTTACCCATCCAGGCTTCAAGAGTAAGTGTGCCTGGCTACCCTTGTATCCTTCAAAGAACTTGATCCCCTGGCCTCCACCATGGACCTTGCACAGATGCTCCCTGGTTCTGTTTGTCTTTCCCTCTGTACCCTTTTTGTAACTGATGAACCTAGTTGTGAACTGGTGCTAACCCAGGCAGGGGTATGACAAGATCCATGGGGTCACTTAAAAATCATACAAGACTGAACTTTTTGAGATAGCAATACAGTTATCCAGGAAGCCAGAGAAGGTCACCTGTTGTAAGAGAGCATGTGGGGGGTGATGGGCAACCTCCTGAAGATTAGGGAATGGTTATACCAGAGATTAAACATCAAGGCAAAGACCCAAGGGCAGGGATTAGCTGCTTCGGGGAGCCTTTAAAGGTGTGTCTAGGACTGGGGCATAGTGAGGGAACAAAACAAATGGGCAGGGCAGGTAAGGGGGATTTCTGTGTTCTTCCTAGTTGGAGGAGCTGAGATTAACAGGAATATTTAAGCAGAACTACATGACATTTGAGTGTGGTAAAATGGATCTAACATAAAATTCCTCACGTTTCCTACACCTTAGAATTTTAGCTCGGGCGCTGTGAAGGGATTCCTATCATTTCCCTTCAGAACTTCCAGTCTTCCCAAACTAAATATTGTCCAGTTGAACACAAACTCTCCATCTCACTTCCTCCAGCTCTGACAACCCATCTGTGGTAACTTGAATGTAATTGGCCGCCATAATTTCACAGGGAATGGCACTATTAGGAGGTGTGGCTTTGTTGGAGTGGATATGGCCTTGTTGAAGGCATTGTGTCACTATGGGGATGGGCTTTGAGGATATCACCTATGCTCAGGACTCCACCAAGCATGTTAGTTGACTTCCTGTTACCTGTAAGATGTAGCATTATCAGCCCCAGCACCGTGACTGCCTGCATGCTGCCAAGCTCCCCATCATGATGGTAATAGACTGAACCGCTGAAACTGTAAGCTGCCACCCCAATTAAATGTTTTCTTGATAAGAGTAGCCATGATAATGGTGTCTTTTCACAGCAAAAGAAAACCCTAACTAAGATGGAAGTTGATACCAGGAGTGGGGTATTGCTATGATAGGCCTGCCTATGTTTTTGTTTGGAGTAATATGACTTAGACTGTGGATTATAAAAGCAGTTGAATGTTTTAACTGCTGCTTCATGGGCCCTGCTAGTAGGAGCGTGGAAGACAGTGCTGCTGAGTGTGATTTGATGCACTGTGGGTGCATCAAAAACCTAAGAGATTTCCTAGGAGAAGAATTTTAGGATGTTGCCTAGAGGTCATTCTTGTGATATTTTGGTGAATAAAGTGGCTGTCTCTTGTCATTGTCTGAAGAGTCTCCTGAGGTTAAAGTGGAAAAAATCGAATCCATTGGCAGAGAAAATCTCAAAGCAGCCTACCATAGGCACTGTTGTGTGGTTACTAGCAGTAACACTCATGAAGATTTATAATGAAAAGGAGCAAGGTGAATTAGAAAATGAAAATTTTGAGGAAAAAAGGACCACCAGGAAGTAGAATATAGCTAAACTCGGTGTTCAAGCAGATAAATGGATTAAGAAATGGAATAAAGCGAGTGGTGACCTCAGGGCAAGATCC